CCCGGACTGCAACTCACAGAGTCCACCCCATCCAATGATGTCCCCATTGACACCACGTCGGCCGCCGGAGTTTGTTTCAGGAGCGGCCGCAATGGAGGCGAGGAGGAGAAGGGCAGAGGCGCTGAGGGCAGAGCGTGAGAGGCTCCAGGCAGAGGCAGCAGCAGCAGCAGAGGTAGCAGCAATAGCAGCAGCAGCGGAAGCAGCAGCAGAAGCAGGAGCAGGAGCAGAGGCAGCAGCAGCAGCAGCAGAAGCAGAAGCAGAAGCAGAGGCAACAGCAGCAGCAGCAGCAGCAGAAGCAGCAGCAGCAGCAGAGGCAGAAGTGGAGGCAGCAGCAGCAGAGGCAGTAGCAGTCCCACCACCAGCAGTCCCACTACCAGCAGCAGCAGTGGACGAAGCTGCTGAGATGGCCGGTGCTCCACGATGGGCGTGAGTCACGTTTTAAAATATAAATTTCCTGCATGAAAATAACAGGTGTTTCTACATAATAATTTATTATTACAGGCGCTACCTGCTAAAGCAAGTGCAGGAAACGCAACGCTTGTTAAGGTAAGATCATAGCTCAATGCAGTTTTTAATTGGAAAATGACGAATCGTGTGAATCTCACTCAGAATCTTAATTTAATATTTGTTTCTTTTCAGGCAACATCAGCGCCAGCAATTGAGAAGGCCTGATGACCTCCCTCAAGGATTCCCGCTGAGGAGTTTGGAGGATTTCCTCGGATTTGAAAATGCAGATCCAGCCATTTTCGATGATTTGGTGTGTGTAATTATTATTTTGCATTATTCTTTATAATGATCTCACAAATATTAATTGGTTATTTATTTTACAGGTTGCATTTTTCGTCCACCTTGGGGAGGATAATCCGCAGGAATGTGCAAATGCGCACTTCCATGCAGCATTCCACCCCGAGGAGCTGATATCGGAGGACATCACGTGGAAGGGGATTCCCCGTGATGGCAATCCTCCGATCATGAAGCACTCACTCCAGAGGAGCCGCTTCACTCGTGCTTGTCGTGGTAAGTACTTATTGTTTGTCTGATAATGTTTCAAATGCTGATGTTTTCAACTTTTCTTTCAGAGGCCATGCAGAGGAACACCAGATTTCCAGGGCCACAGGAAGATCAATTCTGCATCTGCATGCAGAGGTCCCTGAAGGCCCTGGAAAACCGCCGTCG